GATTTTTAATTAGCCATTGATAAAATCAAATGGATATCAAATTGAGCAAACAATCTGAGATTATTTTATTGTTTTGTATTGGGTATTATTGGTAATTGTCAATAACTTAAATACCATATTTGTTATTATTAAATTATTTGCATTTAATATTTTGCCTTATTTAAAATCAGAAAGATTTATAAGTACCTAAAATACTGTAACGAAAATGGCCTGGGGTGCTCACGTTTGAAATGGAGGGATCAAAATTCATGGTATTTCAGCAAATGGGAGCCCCATTTGCGCCCTATTTACTGTCAAATATGACACTGACAAGCGGGAAGTTTCGCACCTGTTCTGGAGATTTCGAGAACCATCTGGGTTACCTGAAGGAATCTATAAAAGCGGCCAGAAGAACCACAGGAGGGAGAGTGAAGTGACAGCAGCGACAGAGTTCAGAAGAGGTTAAACCCCACGGGTCGGAAGACCGAGTTTTCCGTTTGTTATTGTTATTGTTGGTAAAGTTGACGTTAATTTAGAAGTTAGTTTGTTCCTGTTCCGTATTTAAAGTGATACCGAGTTGAATAAAAATTGGAAGCTGAAGAAAGAGTTTGATACTCGGCCATCCACGGTACAATATTATAAATTATTACTAAAAACCTTCCTTACTACTAAATTGCATTCTCGTGTGAGTTGCAATTCCAGCTTTTCGCAGCAATTCTCGTTCTGTTTGGGGACTTATAATGAGTAAGAACTAGGAGTAACTTTATTCCGTTAATTTATGTATTCAATTTTGCATTTTTACCATCAGTGGGTCACACTGATGATAATGGGCGATTTGTTCTGCTGCATTAATAACTTTTGCCGGAATCCAAATTAAAAAAATAAATGTTTCAGATACAAGTCTGATTTAAAACATAATTCCTACTACGGTCCTAAAAAGTCCGTTCACGGGTGCAATCTCGGCGTGGCTTTAGCGAGATAGACAGCATTAAAATCGGGCTAGAATTTGACAAAAAAATGTCACCGAAAATGGCCTATTTTAGCATGGAATCCTGGTCGCATCTTTTGTCCAAACTAAACAAAAATTGAAGCATTCTAAACTAGAAATTTTGGCGGTTGTCAGAAAGTCAATTTAAATGTGAAAAACATTTGCAACCATGTATGAACGTAATTTTAAAGGAAGCTTACATTTATGAACTATTGTTGCTCGGTTTAAGCATTATCAGATAAAGTTTTATAAAATGAAATAAATTTCCGGCATTATAGATAATAGCGTCTATCCAATTTTTCAAGTTTGAATAAAATACAAGAAGTCGATTTTTTGTAATTTACCGCCAAATATGCACGGGAATTCCTATTATGGGTGAGCGTATAGCCTTAAGAACGTTCTATCAGCATTCGATACCAGCGGTGACTCTTGTCTCCGAAACGTGAAATATCAATGGCCAGTCCATCTGGACGTTCGTAAAATTAACCCTACCAGTTAAGTAATCTTTTACAGAAAACACATTTTCCTTTTAGCACAATGTTGATATATTCAGAAGTTTCATCCTTTGGAATTTTTACAATTCATTTCGTTGCAACTAAACGAATTCTTGGATCTTCCCTGCTCTCGCAGTAAAACGATTACATTTGTGAAACGGATTTAAAGACCTACTGAGGTATAATATGGGAATCAGCATCTGCTGAATATTTTTAAATCCAAATTTGAATAGGCGGCGATCAAAAAATTCTTTCGGTTTGAGCTCTTTACAAAAAATACTCTATTTGATAATCGGGAACTACATGTTTTACAAAATTATTCAAGCAAAAAAGTTTTTGCGTTTTTATTTAAATGACATATTTGCCAGTTATCAGAATAATTTTATTGGGAACTGGTATAAAATGTACTGATTCGCTCCCTTTATTAATCTTTATTTAAGATGTCTCTTTCCTTAAAATTTTCATGAATCGAATTGCTTGTTTACAGTTGATGTCAAAAATCCAAGAACCTTAAATCAGCAAGATACGGAAATAAAATCGCTAAAAAGTGCAGTATGTTAATATATTTCTATTTTGTTTCCACTTATCTTAATTTAACCTTTTGCTTTGACCTTTCTGGTCAATTGGCACTGGAGGGCGAAGCAAAGCAAAGTTATCTTAAACCAAGGGCCACATTGCAATTCTTTCATCTAACCGGATTGAAAAATGCCGTTTGTTGCTCTGTTGACGTTACATGATTTGACTTTAATTAGGTAACCATAAAGCACTTTCAAAATCTAATTTCCGATGCGTCCACTGAATCAAAACAAGTGTTTTCTGCTGTTCTCGGAATTTCCTTAATTGAAAGGCTTAGCTCTTCCTTAAACTTGCCCTATTATGTGCATTTCAGCATCCAATTTTATTAAAGTGCAAATTTATTCATAAACAACTGACTGCCGAACAAAAGTGTCTGCCACTTGCCGCATTCGGAGCAGAGCACGGAACCTTAAAAATATAAAAGGCGATGTGAAATATTTTAAAACTCAGTGTGTTAGAGAAGTAGACAAAAGATGCTCTTCACAGTCTTCTGCAGGCTACGACATGTTTTTTGTGCGTTTTAATTGGTTTGCGCTTTGCCAAAAAAGCAAGCTTTCTTTATCTAATGGTTCATTTTACTTCAAATACGATCCTTGTCTTCGATTTTCTGAATCGAATTTTTCCCGTCAGCATTTAGTTTAATCCGTAATTAATTACGACGGCACGGAAACTATTTGATGTATCAAGTTCAAAAGTGTTTCCCTTAAGTTTAAAGCATCCAAGGAAAACTTAATTGGAGAGCATTTGTCTGGCCTAGCTTCAATATTCAGAGAATACTGAATAGCTAAGTATAGCCTAAAAGAATCACTAAAATGTAAAATAAGCTACTTCTACCTCATTATATTTCTCGCAGGAAGTCAAGGAAGGAAGTCATTTTTTTATACAACGAATGTTTTCGGAGCAAATTGCTTCGTTTAAAAAGTACGCCATTTAAAATGGCTTACGATGAAATAAAGGAAGTGCAAAGTCGAATGTGAAGAACCGTTTTTTTATTGTTTTTTTATTATTAAACTAACATATATGTATACTCAGAATTACTTCTGGTATGCATCCCGCAGAGGTAAATAAAATTACCCGTTCGCGGTCATAGAGTTATATGGCCATTTCCTATGATTTAATGTTAACTAGTACAGCTTTGTGAATTAAGCATTTATTTTCCTATTTATACGGCAACGTTTACGCATGTAAATCAGTCATTAAGATAACTTGCTTGGTATGCGTTCTATGTAATTTCATTCGTTTATCAAATAAAGCTCTTGAAAAACAGAAGTTGCGTAATTAAGAACAAAATTGGCGCAGTCGGTAGAATCCTTTTGGAGTGCAAATTAAAATTCAGTTTAAAAATTTAGTTTGCAAGTTTTTAGTAGAAAAGTTTGCAATTCGYGAGTGCGAAGTTCGTGAAGTTTACATAATTGGATTAAGTAGCACCCTCTGTGTCAACAGTTAAGGAAGGATTCTGAAGAAAAGACCTTGCTTGACCTAAAACTTTGCTTAGTCTACATGGACGACATAATTATATATTCCACCAGTTTGCAAGAACATTTGGACTCTCTAAAACATGTTTTTGACCGATCATTTCATACAACATGAAAATTCAACTTGAAAAATCAGAGTTCTTACAAAAAACTGAATTGAATTGA